GTCACAACCAAAGTCTCCCAACTTTCGGGCAAAGAACTAAGTAGTATCAAAACCTGCAGCTCATCGTTAAAAATAATTTTCATAGAAGCAAGTTGATTAACAATACTTTTTTATTTCATTCAAATGTTCCGGAATGGGGTTGCCATCTTCATATTTTAAATTAACTAACTTTCGAAATAGAAAAACCTTATTTGTGGCTGATTTTCTATCATAAAGACTTTCTAATTTTTTTCATAAATCATGTGCCGAAATTTCAGTAGCAACATGATGAAACACACTGTTATCAATCCATTGACGGATAACACCAACAACTTTTTGATTAAGCCTCTTCCATTCATTATCATTCATACCCTCAAGTTTGCCACTATTACCCTCAATGGGTCCATACAAATCTTTACAAAATAATAGGTTATCCATTTTAGTTTTTCAAATTACCCAATTGCTTTTATTGAAGTTAGACATGCGACCCATATTTCCCTCCATTGATTTACACAAATAAATAAACTCAAATAAATCGTAAACTCTGATACGAGTTGTCAGGGAAAATAGATGATTTTCCACAAGTAAATTAATCAATGAAAATAAAAATTAATGCCAAAAAATTAAATCAATAGCGACACAGGAATTTTACGTAGTTCCCTCAATATGAGGTACATCCACGGAATCGAAATTCTATTCCACTATCAACCAAAAAGTTTCCAAACGAGACACAAATGGTCTCACAAATCACCCTTAGATGAATTCTAAATAATTATAAATAATCAAGAGGAAAGATTTCACTAAATAGATGAATAAAAATTTTTAAAATAGAATTATACAAGAGCCAAAATAATATGCTCAAATCAAAACTAAAAACCAAACTAGATACTTCAAAGCAGAGTAGCAATCAACGCACAAATTATTGAACTTGACCAAGTCAAATATGATGTCTCATTCTCACCAATTGAATCAATTTTGCACCAAGCACTATGCCCTCACCCAATGTCAGCCCACCGAATTAAGAGTAATGATTCATCCCTTTTCCCCCACCTCCTTTGACCCCTCTCTTTTTCATTGGTTACCTTTTTTTTTTTTTTTTCATACTCCTCCAATCACCCCTGCCACGTGGCAAAGGGGGTGAGGGGGTGACCCCCAAAAGGGGTCCCAAACATTATTCTTTTTGTAAAACTAAATTCACCAACTTCTTTTTTTGAAAAACAGAAATTCTTTATAACATAAATTATTTATTTGTAGGAAAATGTTTGAGGGCCACAATTTTTGTGGTTACAATGACTCAAAACTGTCAAAACGATATCGTTTTGGGTGTAAAACATGATATCGTTTTGGGTGTAAAACATGCCAAAACGACGTTATTTTAACAGCTTTAAACCATTGTGACCACAAAAATTGTGACCCTCTAGCATTATTGTTATTTTTAAACAGCAATTGGGTGAAACAACCAAACCCTACACACAAAAAAAAAATTAAAAACATTTCACAAAAAAAAATTTAAACATAATCAGACAACAACAATCAACCAATTTCAACGCAATCAAGCAATTTCAAACAAATTTATAATGCAATCAAGCAATTTCAATCCTATCAAGAAATTTCAAACGAATTTTAAATAATAAATACCTGGATCTTTGTGATCTGCGATCTGCGAAATGGGGGAGGATGATCGGCGTTCTTGGTTTCCATCTTCATTTTCAGCTTGTTTGGGATATGCGAAGAGGGGTTTGTGACGAGGAGAGAGAGACAGAGAGAAGGGGTTTGTGACGCAATTTGATCTGCGATCTTCGGAAAGAAATGGCGGGTTTTGGGAAAGAGATGGTGGGTTCTGGGGGAGAGACGGCGAAGAGAGACAAGCCGCTTCACCTTCACCATCTAAGGATGGAAACAGAAAGACGCTGCTTTGGGTTTCAGAATGAAGAGAATGAGGGTGAGGGTGGGGTCGGTGGTAAGGTTCTAGAAATGAGAAAGTGATGAGAGAGACCGAGCGGGGTTCTGATAGAGAGTGCTTTGGTTGGGTTTTAACTTTAAAATGTAAGTAAAAAAAAATTACTTATTTAATTTTTTATCCAACATCACAAATATCATCATTATTCATTCATCACTCAACACCAACCACAGAGCTCCAAACCCCCCAAAAAAATGGAGGAACAACAACTCCAAAACAGGCTATACTATTGGGGAAACACACCAGAAGAAGACTATTACTCCAACCAAGGAATCAAATCCACCAAATCCTTCTACACCTCACCCAGAGGCCTCACCCTCTTCACTAGATCATGGCTTCCCCTCTCCAGCTCCCCTCCACGTGGCGTCATCCTGATGGTCCACGGCTACGGCAACGACATCAGCTGGACATTTCAGTCCACCCCAATCTTCCTCGCCCAACATGGATTCGCCTGCTTCGCCCTAGATCTCGAAGGCCATGGCCAATCCAACGGCCTCAAAGCCTTCCTCCCCGATGTCGATCTCGTCGTCGATGACTGTCTCAATTTCTTCAAATTCATCACTACCCAAAACCCCCAATTCCAAAATCTCCCCAAATTCTTGTCCGGAGAGTCATTGGGCGGCGCGATTTGTCTCTTGATCCATTTCAAAAACCCTAGTTCATTCAATGGAGCTATTCTAATGGCACCCATGTGTAAAATCTCTGATAAAGTCAAACCCAGATGGCCGCTTCCTGAAATTCTGACATTTTTTGCCAAATTCGCACCCACTTTGCCGGTTGTTCCAACAGCTGATCTTTTGGACAAGTCTGTGAAGGTTCCTGAGAAGAAAGTCATTGCGGGTATGAACCCTATGAGGTATAATGGGAAACCAAGATTGGGTACTGTGAAGGAGCTTCTGAGAGTTACTGATTATGTGAGTAAGCGTTTGTGTGATGTGAGTATTCCATTCATTGTCATTCATGGTAGTGCAGATGCTGTGACTGATCCAGATGTGAGCAGAGAATTGTATGAGCAAGCCAAGAGTGAAGACAAGACTTTGAAGATTTATGATGGTATGATGCATTCTTTGTTGTTTGGAGAAACTGATGAGAATGTTGAGATTGTTCAGCGGGATATATTGTCTTGGTTGAATGATCGATGCAAATGAATGAATGAATGAATGATTTGGGATTTGGGCTTTGTATTTTGGATTTGAAATGTTTGAAGAACAATATATGAATTGAAATAAATTGGTGTATAGTTTCATCAAAGGTATGTTCTTGACTCCCCATATATAGTTGACATTGTAGTTTAAGTGTTTGATAGAAGTCCTCAATGGAAGCTTTATGAAATTGTTGTAATACAGCAAACTAGCTGTAAAACCATGCAAATGTGTCTCTATGTAATTGTAGAATTGGGGATTTTATCTTTTTCCTTTTTTAAATAAATTGTGACATTGAATGAAAATAAGTTTTAGTACATAGGTATAGGGGTATTCAACCCATATACTGTCACTATGTAACTTATTTGCAATACAATGAGAATGTAATGAAAAATTTGCAAAATCCATCAATCAGTACAAATTTCATGATTTGTTAAAATGTTTAGCACATTTATTTGTTTCTTGGTAGACATGGTGGATTGACAAAATTCCGAGTCTAGTACTCATATCGTAAGGTATTGGCATTCACAAATAGGACCTTGCTCTGGGCATTTCCAACAACTAACATTAAGGATTTTTTTTCTCTTCACTGCCCCAAAGTTGGTCACATTGTTGCTAATCAAAAGCTTTAGCAATAACAACTGGATGCTTGAAGGTTTATGGGTTAGGGAGGAGAAACAAGTAGCATTTCTAGACCAAGAGAATATACCAACAAAAAAGGAAAGAGAATTGCTAACAAATAGCTTCATTTTTTTAACAGATGTTTTTGAGCCCTGTTAAGAATTTCCTTGCCCCTTTGGATGCCTCTCCAATCAATCATTTTATCAGTGTTAGTAACTATGTATGTAAGGAAAACACAGAAGTTAAAAACTCCTTTGAGGTGGATTTAAAGTGTCAGCGACTATATTTGTAAGGAAAACACACAAATTAAACAAGTTAAAAACTTGTTTGAAGTTGATTTAAACAAGTTAAATTTAAAGCTCATTAAATTTTTGAGCTCGATTCAACAAGCTACTTAATCAAATCTAGACTCAGCTCGGCACGTATACAAACCTTCTATAGAGGATATACTTTATGATAAACAAAGGCTATGTTCGTTTATTGGCGTGGGAGGGGGGATTATAATGTTATGGCTATGGGTCTCACTCACAACTTGTTTGGTAGTATTTTGGAAGGGAGGAGTAATAGTCCAACTCACAACTTGTTTGGTAGTATTTTGGAAGGGAGGAGTAATAGTCCAACAGGCTTAGTAATCCCTCTTAGTAAGAGGATTAGCTTGGCTAGATTTTAAGTGAGCGAATTAAGTCTATTTTTTTTTTACCAAGTGTACCTGGTTATTTTAATATTTTTTATTTATTTTATATAAAGTAATTTAACAATTTCATCATTAGTCATCTTCCATATTATTATGATAACAAACACACTTTTATTTAATCTCTTCACCACCAATCACATCTAACGTAATCCACCAATCACATCTAACTTAATCCACCAAATAAACGTGACCAAAATGAAATCTTAGTAATAGTGCAATTATCGTGTAAAACTTTACTTTGCAGTGGAATTCATGAAGTCTCAAATGAAGTAGCAGAATTGTAACTTTGAATTGGAAAAATGAATAAAGGGAAAGAATTAAGGTCCTACCGAGATTTGAACTCGGGTTACTGGATTCAGAGTCCAATGTCCTGACCACTAGACCATGGGACCATTCTGGCATGGAGATCGCTTTTAAAATTATTATATATACACATACCTTATATCCACAATCCTGTCCAATGACATCAATTTCGACGTTCATAATAAATAATTTGTTACTGTCTTGAAGCCTACTAGTATACTGAGAGTTATTATGGTGCCAAAATTCGAATTGTATCAATTATTGAGTTAGCAATCTGGTCCAATACCCAACCATATATTCACTTTATTAAGGGGTTCTCGACACTCTCTTTCCTTCTCTGTTAGATAATATATATATATATATATATATATATAATTTTTAGTATGTACCAAAAAAAATCTCATCAACTACTAAAAAAATAATATTGATTGGCTGGTTTACTTAAAATATTATTAGATAATGTACCCATCCAAAAAAAACAAAAAAAGACCTAATAAAATGCTTTTCTTTGTTCAAGTTGTAATTAAACTAAATAATTGTTTTTTTTTTTTTTTTTTTTTGGTGCAAAAATAGGATAAGAACTAGTGGGGGAAAATAATAAGAATTATCTTTGAATGTTTTTAAATTAAGAGTAACAATATACAATATTGTGGAACAAAATTTTCATTTAACTTTCATATTTTCATTTCAAAACAAAACAGCTAATATTGTAGTTTAAACTTTTAGAAATATCACTATCATATCATTATGAATAGAATTTCTATATAAAAATTTGATTATGAATTATTTTCTTCTATGACTAAGAAGAGGTAAATCAAAATTCACTTCGAAATTTGAATTTAAACATCCTACTCCTCATGGTGTTTCATGATTAATATTTGAAATGAATAAAAAAACCAACTCTATCTGTGAATCTCCGTATTCTCTATATTATACTTCCGACTAATAAGAAATTACAACAATAAATTGAGTTAGTCTTTATCTCTTGACTACCTGATAAAAGTGAATCATTATATCTCAATTATAAATTTTTTCGCTACATAATTTGTTTGGAACATTCATAAATAATACAACATAGTGCTCCATGACTATTGAATAATTACCCATGTCAATAGGCACTCTAAGGATGCTGGTCTTTTATTGCCACAACCCTGATGGGCGTTGATGCAAGTTGCCCAAATAGAATATCAACATTGCACAAGAACAAATAATTATTAAAACCTCATTGCCTCATTGATCAAAGAATCCACAATCAGCAAGCACTCAACACTCGGGCTGATCCAAATTCTAAAAGATCTAGGGCTCTGTTTGGATTTAAATTTGGATCAGTAATATCAGCATACTAACATAAATAAAACACTAATAATATGAACAGCCAAATAGTTCTGCATTTATCCTTAGGTTAACACAGCTCAAACTCAAAAAAGAACGAAGATGAGTTCTATCTGTTATCACTTGGGAGCCGTGTAAAGTTTCATGCACTGTTTTGAATGAGAGAAAGAAGTGAGAAATCCTGTTTTCGACTCTGATTCTCCCAACTCCACGCGTTGCATTTCTTTATGTTACTTCAAAAGTAGCTACTTCCAACTTTAGCCACTTTAACATACCAGATTCTTATTAATGGCACTCAACACAGATATACAACCTGACATAATTTGGTGCTAACAAAACAAAATTTCACTCCATTAAGGTTCTTCCGTAATTTCACCAAGCAAAATTATTAGATGAAAGCAAATATAAATAGAACCACCAAAGAGAGAAACATGATCAATCAAACTAAAATTTTGCAGTATTTGTATTGGGGAAGGGGGAGTGAAAAAGAAAAGAACTATATATATTTACAATTTGTGCTCCTATATTCACTACTCATAACCTATTGAATTCCAAATCCTATACAATAAGAATGTGAGAAATCAATTGGTCAAAAAATGGATCATGCAAAATTCTTACAAAGACGAATTCACATGATTTCTTCATAAATGAAGCCTTCTTTTGTAGTTACTCCTAGGGATTCAAGAATCTATAGAGAAAAGAAAAAAAAAGAGTGCACCCAATTAAACTATAAAAGAATACCCTGATTAAACCATGAACAGATACTTCAAGTCCTCTACTGTAAGACGAGTCTGACAACTACCCGTCTCGTCCTCACCAAAAGCAGATGCAACCATCTCTCTCTTTTTTTGCTGCAAATGAGATGGGAGAAATTGCATTAACATTTTCACAACATATGAACCCCAAGCCCAATGTCAGTTTTTGATTCTTAAAATGAGAAGACTTGTTAGCAATCGGGAGAAAGACACAATCAAGAATCACCCTTTTACACAGTTGAATCTGAAAATTAAGCCATTTCCAAATAGCTATTATTTACAACAGATGTGATGGGAAATATTTATTTAACAAAAGAATAAGAGTGTGTTCAGAGGAGCTCCTGCTCTCAGTTTGAGAGCATGTCCAGTGAACTGGTCTAAAATCCCGTCTTTCTGCCTATTTCAGAGTTTCCGCACATATTTACCCATGATCACTGAGCTCAATATCATATCCTCTAAAAATCCTATATGCAGGTCACTCTTCAATATGCAGATGACTTATGAAACAGGAATTCATCAAGGGGCTAAAAATTCATTAAAGATGGTATTTATTCAAGAAATTAAGCAGCCATTATTAGCAAGTAAATCAATCGATCCTCATCAATGCCTTTATGATTGACATTCTAAAAATTTTACATTGAAAATGAAAAATAACTACAAGATTTGAACAAAAAATAATACCTGAAGTGCCAAAATGCGATCTTCAACTGTATCTTTCACTGTCAACCGCAAAACTGTAACAGGACGTGTCTGTCCAATCCGGTGGGCTCTATCCACTGCTTGATCTTCAGTTGTAGGGTTCCACCAGAGGTCCAGAAGAAGAACATGACAAGCTGCTACCATGTTGAGTCCAAGACTAGCAGCTTTCAAAGACATAATCATAACAGACACCTATGACAAAGTACAAGGGATCAAATTCCAGAACTGATGTCTATAGAAGTAACAAATACTGAAGCATACTAACAAAAGATGCCAAAATCCCACACAAACCTCAGGGAGAGTGTTAAAATCTTTCACAGCTTTATCTCTGGCAACAATAGACATTGTCCCATCAAGTCTCCTGTACTTAATGGATGAATTTTTAAGACAAGTTTCAAGCAAATCCAGCATCCTTGTCCACTGGGAGAAGACTATTGCTTTCTCTCCCACTACTTTAATCAAATCATTTGAACCTTCAACAAAATCCGAGTTTATGTTATCAAGCATATCCTGCTCTGACCCCCTCGAAAGAGGATCAGATGAGTTTTCTGGACAAGTGGCACCATCATCAATAGATTTCAGTGGTGTACGGTTGCTTGGTTGAGAAAGTGATTGCAGGACCTCAAGGGCAGCATTGATTTTGGAGGAATCAAATGAATGACTCCAGGAACCAGGCTCAAGGTTATCAGATACTTCAGAACCGAAGCAATCAGGGGTACCATCCTGAACAGGCTGCTCAGAGAGAGAACATTTTAATGTCGCTCGAGAAAACACTGAAGATACACTGAGTCGATCTTTGCAATTTGTAGTGGGGCATTGGATGTCATCACCCGTCAGATGTTCACAGATGCATTGGTTGCAGAAGACATGTCCACAGCTTGTAACAACAGCATCCTCAGGTGAATCCTACGTAAAGGTCGACATAAGTTTTTCAATAAATAAGTACCTCATCATTCGATTAGAAAGTAATTTTAAGATTGATCCATGAAGATGAGGCTTTTAAGAAACTGAGAAACCATAGATAAATAAGTAGTCTGAAACCTTATGACAAAACCATGAACACAGGGGAGCAGAGACAGAGACACACGATATGCTGAAAACAAGAAACAGTGTAAGATATAATTGCTATTATATAGAGTTGCCTTCAATTATAATGATTAGCATACTGATCAAACCACCAGTCAGAAAACTAGCATCTAAAAACATTGAAGTATTGCATATATGCAGAAATAAGGGCATATATATCATGCACCTTTTCCTAGAGAGCCATTTTATGTTTCAACAAAGCATGCCCTTTCCCCATCACCAGTTGACCAATATACTAACCATTTTTCAATTCATAATACTAAAACTTGAATTGGGAAAAAGACCAACAAGTTTCTACTCTGCAAACTAATCCATAACACCTTTCCCACTCAGACAAGGCATGGCACCTCAATCTAGTAACCAGGGTCAAGACTTCAACATACATAAGGGTCCATATGCATTGGTCATGGGATTCCCACTAATAGAGGAAATATGCACACATCTAACCAAATTAATATTCTTAAAGTTTAAGGCAATGTCGTAAATACAAAAGAAAATGCAGCAACATTATAGATCGTGCAACAGACCCTCTCAATATTCTTATAGATATTTGTTTCTTTTCTTTTTAAAAACAATTTAAACAAAACCCAATAAGAATGCAACCACAGATGATGGATCGTCCTAGCATCCAATTTCCAGCACCAATCCTCTCTCTTTGTATCATCCAAATCTGAGGCCCCAAACGAGTGAATCTGACTTTTGACTACTTAGGCCTCGTTTGGGAACAGGCTAATTTAGTAACTTTTTGGCTATTTGGCTAAAAAGGTAGGTAAAAAAAACTTGTATGTTTGGGATGACTTTTTGGCTAATTACGAAAAGATGTGCAAAAAGTAGAGAGAAAAGAGAATCTTTGACTTTTTGGTATGGGTTGTTGGCTTTTTGGCTAATTTAGTAACTTTTTGGCTAATTGGCTAAAATAGCCTCTTGCCAAACGAGGCCTAATATTGGATATCTCTAACTTAACGTCTTGGTTTTAATTTATGTTGCTTTGGTTGAATCCTTCAAAGGCCTACCCCATTTTTTTTTTTGTATCCTTATAAAAGTTCCCGTTCCAACATCAAAAGAAACAAAACATTTTGACTACTTCATATTAGTCATCCTAGATCACTCACAGACCTATCACAAACAACAATTCTTCATTGTACGAGGTCAGTGTGGGCAAAAGTCAAAGGTACCACAGCATAGAAAAGGCTAATGGTCACAGGCAGCTATAATATCGAACTTTCTGTTTGTTTTAAAAAATCACAAGTTATCTCATCAAACAGTGAAAAATAAAAGATAAAAAATAAGAACAGACGTTATTTCCTCCCTATCTGATGAGTGAATACAACTTAAAATCCTGTAAAGAAAATATCCCCAATTAACCAATGGGAAAATGGGACACAGGGCGAATGCAAAGTGTTCAAAGACTTGGAAGGGAAGAAAATCATGGAATTACAAAATTCATGAAATTCAAAAGCATACAACAATAAAGAAAACCAAGAAATCATAATATTGCCCATACTTTTTCTTCTCTTTTTGTATTTTTATTTTTATAAATAGAATACTGCCCATGGCTACTAACAACAGCAGAAGCCCAACAAAGGAGAATCCCCGTGAATCATAAGCCAAATGCATCCCCATCATCCTCCATCCCAACTATGTTAATACCTTTTGGGAGTTCCAACTTTTTAAGGGCACATGTAATTAATCCACTCAAATTCAAATCAAAAGACATTGATTTCCAAAATAGCCCATAGCTATTTATAAGGACTAACAATTTGGGATAAAGGGAGTCATATTTATTGAACCTATAATCTATCCATTTGTGCAATATAACCAATATCTTAATTTAAAATATCAAATGGATAGCTTCTTGAAGCAATCAAAAAGAGAAACATCAATTCCAAAAGGGATTACTACGCAATTAAGTCGATGCGTAACGATTAGCAAGTAATAACATACATTGCATATGCCACAAATTGCCAAAGAAGCTTCCAAACAATTCAGTAGACGAACTTGCTTGTCCCGAGGAAGTTTCTTTGCCATCTCAACAGATGATCTCCATGTGGAACTAGAATTGTATCCCCTAACAAGAAGAGGATGATCACAAGCTTGTCGAAGGCGCAGGAGCATCAACAAAATGTTAACATAATTTTGTTTGACAGTTCCAGCAGCTGCATATTCCTGATATAACATACCAATCTAGAAGTCAAAAGGACAGGTAATAAAAGAGGAAGACTAAGCATGCTTACAACATTAAAACAATAAAAGGAGAGAACTTCAAAATTAGATGGTATTTTCAAAGAAACATACTGCAAACTGAGCTCGGGAATCAGCTTCTAGTCTGCAATAGAAATCCCGCTCCTCCTCTGAGAAATCCACTTTTTTCAATTCTACTGATTTTGGCGGTAAGTTGATGATGGGTTCCCCGTCAAGAAGTGTGCCTATAAAAAAACGTTTACCAACAAATGAGCATAAGTACCCGCAGCAGGTTGTATATTGATGCAGTCCCAGTTGCAGTTCTACCCCAACAGTACAATAGCCATCAAATTCAAACAAGTCAGTCAAGTATAAAAATCATACTCATTCTACCTCAAAACTCATGAATCCATGTAGACAATGACACACCAGCATATCATAAAACCAAGATCAAAAAATATATTATCTGGCATTCCTCATATTGGAAATTAGTATTGCATATACTGACAAGCTGTAACGGTCATAAATTCCTTAAAAAATGATAAAAATTATCGCAGAAAAATAAGTCCATCCAAAATTATACTTATGGCGCACTACTACAGCACAATATGCAGTGAGCCCACAAGAGCACAATTTGACTGCAAACTAGTGTACGACACCAGGTGCTAGTGTAAACCAACCACAAGTATAGATGCTCCCTTGTAAACAGGATATGAAAATAAACTGGTTTAATCCAAGTCTGATGAAAATTATAACTTCAGCCATGTTACTCCATATATATTGTTATTTGTAGGATATGACAATGACTGACATTCCAGAGATGAGACGCCAAAATTTCCTGGAACAAGTTCTATCATTAAAGTCCCTAGTGATTTGATGGAAAAGATGATTAATACTTGCAACTATAAGAATAAGACATATCCCAGCCAAGCCATACACCTTAGAAGGGAACAAGGATGAAAGCTAAACACCTCGGCAATTTTAGAAATAAAGGATATAACAGAGAAGTTTCTTAGGAATAAGTGACTGTAAAGCATGTCAGATCTATTGCAAACAGCTAGCTTAGTAAAAATTCACCACTTAGGTGTATAATGTTGTAAACAAGGGAAGAAATAGGAAGAGGGGTAAGAGAAAGAAACCAAAATAATTAAACTTCACCTAGTTGTCATTGAAGAATTCTCTTCAAAATAAAAATAAATTTACAGGGGGAAAATCCCTCATGCCAACTCACCTTTTGTGCGACGTAGCATTATTGTCTTCAAGACGGCTTGTAGCTTTTTGTACCCATTTGTTGGATTCCTACTGATTGGGACCTTTATCGAGGAGCAGAATGATTTATATACAGCATATGGGTCATATCTAAGAAATCTGAAGTAGCTATAAAGATCATCAACTGCATTCTGGATAGGCGTCCCTGATAAGCACCACCTGCGTTTAGCCCGGAGCCCCCAACAAGCCCGAGCTACTTGAGTTCTATGATTTTTTATGCTCTGTGCCTCATCCAGTACAACCCTAAACCAGCCAACCCTAGCAAGAGGTCGAGCAGCAGATTCAAGCAATGCATTATCCATTCCCTTCTTATCCCTCGCAGATCTTTTACCAGAACTAGAAGGATATTTCCTTTTCTTACCAGATGAAAATCCCACAGGCAGAATAACATGAGCTTCTTGCCTTCCAATCCCGTCATCATCTTTATCGACAAGAGGCTGTTTTGGGACCTCAATACTTACAATTGAATATGTTGTAACGACGACATCATACTTGGCAAGCTCACAAGGATCTTTTGTTCTATTGCTTCCATGATAAACTAAAACAGATAGATTAGCTCTGCTAGTCACCTTATTATGCAATTCCTCGGCCCATTGGCGTAGGACACTTGTAGGACATACAACAAGGGTACCAGCAGCTGGCCTACCCATTGTTTGCACAGAAGTGTCCCTACTCTTCATAGAACTTCCATTAGACCAAACTTGGCATGATTCAACATCCTGCTTCAATCCATCAAGCTCAGACACATAGTCATCATCTTCATCCAAATTTAATGTTTCCATTTCATTGTGTTTCAAGCTGTCTGGACAAGCTAGGGAAAGTGGAGCCCTTTCCTTGAGTATAAGTGCAATTGTTGATATCGTTTTCCCCAGTCCCTGCCAGAGAATGATTGTACAAGCCCAGAACAACATCAAGTTCCTTCACTATCTAACCTCACATAACACTAAAAAAAAGTACAACATTTGAAGAACCAAAAAAACCAACCTGATCATCCGCAAGAATTCCTCCGGAGCAATGTAAGGTGGCTGTCTCCTTCTGAACCATCCAAGATAAAGCAATTCGCTGCCCAGAATTTCAACAAATGTCAGTCCAGGTAATGTACAAGCACATGCACAAGTACACACACACACAATGGAGATGTTCTCACAACACAGCAATAAGTAAACCAGGTTCTACTTCTTGAATGCAACAAATGATAGCCTATATAGGATGTCAGCCACCATAAAACAAGTTGATTTGGATAATTATAATGATCCAATTTTGTCTGACATTCAACATTACTTTAATCTTTCCATTAAAGCAAGTAGCAACAATGACAGATACAGTGCAACACTACCCAACCAAATTCATTTAATTCATTTTGCGTTATTGACTGTTTAATTCCAGTGTTCCTTTTAGATACTGATCCTCATGTTTCAGTTCATCTATCTTCATTACTGCAAGACACCTTAAATTTTCCATCCCACACAATGCGTCAAGCTGCCTCCTAGTCAATATTGTCCTTGTTTCCAATAAATTTTTGAGTTATGCTTTGACCAAAGCTAACAAAACTCATATTTACCCAATAAAATAAATTAAAAAAGAGATCAAAACCTGGTGTCTTAAAAGAGGCACTGCCATAACACCATCTGGCGGACTAGCTTCTGTGTTTGGCTGAGAAAGATCCTGCAATGCAAGCCATAGTCCCAATCTCATAAAAAGTCAAGCCATCAAAAACAAGAGCAATTTAATATGATAGAAGTAAAAGCCTGTTTTGCACATAGACAAGGCAACCCCATCAATCTCATAAAAATCCTACAATGAACAAGCATAGCATATGTAGATTTCTAGTATGATCAGCGGGCCAAAAATACAAGGGTAACATTTCAACGCAGACATGACGTGTTAGATACAGAAACCAAATTCTAGGCACCAGTATTAGTACACTACTGAACACAATTGCTTTTAAAGAAAATTATTTAGCACACATCTATATGTGGTTTAAACATTTAATTTTCTTATATCGAAGAACCAAAGAGAGGGAGGAAAACAACGAAGAATGCAATAACATATCAATGATGCCATCAGTAAAAAGTACATTACGCAAATTTTCCTGGTTTAAAGTTCAAACTTGTGCCATACAAAAGTGTTCTGTCAACACAGCCCACAAGCAAATCATTTTGATCGTAAATAACAAAAACTTCATAAAACAACCAAAGACATGAATGATAATCTTGAAAATATTAAATACTTGTTCCCAAAAAAAAATGCGCATCTATAATTTTCAAATTAGAGTTTACTTTAGAAACTACTAGAGACATATATCCCCGGAAATCCAAATAATATTTGGTGTACAATAAAGATACAACACAGCCAGGAATCCCTTTTAGAAGTATCTGTGTTTGACAAGTAACGTAATAATTTCTGTTCACTATCCAATATATTTCAAATTAAAGATACTTTGAAGCACTGCTAATTTATAATACTTTTAACTAAAGGGAAATCAGCTTATTTACTTAACTAACTTATACGCAAGGTATTTACGCCAAACTATCAAACCTCACCTGCAATACAACTCGGAAAACTAGACGTTCATCATTTGCTTTAAGCCTCGCACCTCCCATTCCCATGTGGTTAAGGGGGTCTGGGTCACTAAATGTAGTACGTTGTGAAGTAACAAGCGACTGCCTGTTCATTGACCATGGATTTGAGCATGAAGGTTCACTTATATCTTCAAGAATACATATATCTGGATCGTCATCAACATGGTAGCTGTTAACCATGGCATTACTCTGAATTATTTGGCAGCCGACTTTTGAAACACAAGTATCCAAGCTCTTAGGCTGAATCAGTTTACTCTCTCTATCATCCTTTATGCAACCTAACTGCTCTGAGGCCTTTAGATTCAGACAAAAATCATTAGCAACTTGATTGGGGTTTCTATTACCAAGTCCATTAATGTTATCAAGAGTATGGCGAGCTCTTTTAGATGCCAGAAATACATCTTCGTTTTCATCCTTTGCATGGACCAAAAGCTTCTTACTGGAATCGGAAGACAGAATATGAGGCAACAATTGCATTAAGCCTTTCTCAGTTGGAAACCCATCACCAGCACCAGGAGAATTCCTACTAGAAGTATCATCAATAACATCATAAGATGAGTATGCCATTCCTAGCGCTAAATCTAAGTCATCATTTCTTTCATCGTTCATACAAATCACATGCTTTTTACTAGACATGTTTGATAAAGTACAAGGCAAGGGTTGTGACGATGCATTGGTAACAATAGATCTATCATCGGTTTTACCAAAGGAGTTCCCCCCAATTGGTGATGTAAGGTTATAACCTCCACATTTGACTTGAAGCCCACTAACATCAAGGTCACTGATTATCGCTGCCCCAAAGGCTGCTCCAACTACTTTTCCTACCTGAGTGTCAGACGCCATGGCAATAGGTAAGCATGCAGATTGAGTTGGAATCTCCTCCAATTCATCCTTTGTGTAGGTCATCATTTCATCATTGCTTGGCTGAAATTGAAGATTGAAACTATCATGCAGGCCCCACGGCAAAGGTATGTCAATATCTGTCATGGAGGTATCCACAATTTCTGGTGTTCCTGAGGTTTTTAAGCTATTTTCAATTGAATCACAATGCTTCCCATAGTTAAAATCTGATTTCTCTAGAAAGGAGTTGAGAGATCCATCTGAAATGTTAGAAAATCTAAATCAGTTCATCAACCTGAAATTTTAAAAACAAAATAAAGCACACAAGCAATGAATAAGAATTTATAATACACCATGCACAAGCACAATAGAAACGTCAGCAATTAATGCTTATAGGCAGACAATCACATACATTGGTAGTAAGTATCCCCCTCCAAAAGCCTGAATTGAAATTCAGTTTCACCCTTCAGGTGATTGGAATCCAACACGTCTCTAAAATCTGAAGCATTATTAGCATCACCAGCAGCAATACTAAATGTGGCACTACAATTGGGCATCTCATATTGAGTTTCTTCACAGTAATCAGTATTGTGAGATGAAACACTTTGATTAACTCCATTACTCCCTGCACTTAAAGAACCACGACCTGAAACTGGCAACGTCCAATTTGTAAGACTTCCAGAGCAGCTAGCTGGAGAACCAGTCTGAGCTGAAGGTTCCTTCTTTCTATAGCTAAAGTTGAAAGAGTTCCCAGCAGAGTCAAAAGAACCATCTGACGCCCCTGCCCTAGAATCTGAAGCTTCAGAGTTGTGTGAAGGGGAGAATGTAAAAGATCTTGCTAACTCATCCCCAAATGAAGATGTCCTTTTCGACTCCGGCAATCCTAATTAACAATCCAATAAAGAACAATCACAATGTAAACATTTAAGGATCATAATGTAAACCCAGTTTCCCTCAATTTTTCATCAAACATAAGCAAAACCTTTATAGTATCATAATGTAAAACCCAGTTTCCCTTGGTACAAAATAAAATAGAGGTCCAAGATGCCATAAAGAAAAACGAGCATCAGAATAATAAATTTACCCAATTGAAGCAGGGAATGTTCATTATTGCCAACATCAGGAGGTGACTGGCCTTGCTGCAGTTCTCCTACTGATAAATCTTCTGGGCTATTCTGCAAATTACAACACATATATTCAGTATCTAAGGAAGGTATGCTCCTTGAAGAAACTAAAAGCAATAATTTGGTTATACAAGAGCATAGAATAAAAAAACCCATTCAATATTTAAACATGAGAGAGAGAGAGAGAGAGAGGAGCTGTCACCCAATTCATTAAAAAAAACAAAGCCACATTATTCAACATCTGTTTTTTGATTACTTTTTCTTTTCTTTCCCTTTCTCAACAACAAAACAGTGAGAGGTGGAACATCAGAATCAGGCTCAGCCCGTTTATCCTCCCATACATGTACATTGTATCTGTCTTCTCATGCCCCTTTGCATTCAGAAAATAAGGAAGAGTTATATTGATGCAATAGCAAACACTGCCTTTTCCCATCATAATTTCAAAATTTTCGAAATTAATGTGGAAGACAAAATTAAAGTAAAAGAGGAAAGCCCTAGGTTTTTCACAAATTTATCCACAAGAAGTTCATATCTTCCAACATGTGCACCCAAAATGAATTGAATTTAAAGCTAAAGGCAGCTCCACCATGGTGAAACTCAACTGCGTGACCAGCCCTTAAGGATGTCGCCTAGGGCCTCAAATTTTAACAAAATTTAGGGGTTCGAGTCATTTCGAGTTCATGTCAGCATTACCTACACTAACCCAATCTGTTTATTTTTGGTGTTATCATGTCATATCATTTTTGGATTGTGTCTAGTTCATGTTGTGTTAATGTGTCATGGAAAAAACTCACTCTTAGTTAAATTTAATGAAACTAATTAAAAAAAATCATTAACATTTTTAACTGATTGAAATTATTAATAAAATATGTGATTTCAACTCAATTTCATTTCCCCAATTTAAAAAACATACCCTATTAGTATAAGTTTTTTACTAGATTAACTCTAAAATAGGTGACAAAAATACACATCTTAAATAAAAAATAAAATAAAATATGAATTGAAATCCTATTTTATATACTTTTTCATTCAACTAGATGAGATACCTAAAAGATTCAAAAATGTCATGGCAACCCTTCGCAGAAATATTAAAATGTGTAATTATTCATTAAATGGGTTATCAGTGTGAACTTCATGTTATGCACATTCGACACGAACCTGACCTGTTAAATATTCATGTTATCCAGCCGTGTTATATTCAAATTCGTGTCAAAAAATTATCAACCCTAACATGATAACTTCGTGTATGGTTCGAGTAATTGGTGGGCTAAAAAAACAAGGATCCAATTTAACTAATCTAAGTTCACAATCTAAACTAAAGGGCCAAGCCCTTATAGATTATGAATGTTTAATTAATAATTTTGTATCCAAAAATGCGATAAATGTAATATTTAATTGACATTTTGTTGAAGTTGGTTAAATTTTTAATTGGTATTATAATTTTACATTTTATTTAAAAACAATTATACATATTCTTTTTTAATCTAGATTTGTTAAATCATAAAGCAACAAGACCATATTTTTATCTTTTTTAATTCTTGTAATAATTTCTTCATGCCTTGATATATGTAAGTAAATTTAGTATATAATTTTATGATTATATATGAAAGCAAAATTTGTGTGAGTGTTAGAAAATAAGAAACTAAGAAGCATGGATACAGATATGAAGGTCGACACGGGACACGGCGATTTCAAAACAATGGAGACAGACGCGGGGACACGACAATAAAATATGTTCTCACATATTTTTATTTGCTATCTAGATTAATATTATATCCACAAACAATCAATATTAATAAAAACTATCTATAATTCTATATATTTTTTCATTAAAAAAAAAAGGCACTTTATAAATTAACACTTACAGTTACATCTATTAAACATTGATACCTAATGTTCTTTAACTAAGTAAACAAACCCATATCACATAACAAGCTGCAAAAGCTATTGTCTCGTAACACTTGTGGTTATAACCAATTCCTACAAGTTCTGATCATGTAATTCTCAAAAACATCTATTTCTGATATTTATCATCTATAGTGTCTTTACCATTATATCCCAGCTCGAATCCATTGCAATTGCAACTGCTAAATTCAACCACATCCAAAAATCTGTAACTACTGATTTCAAGCACACCCATACGGGTGTGCACACCTTTTACTGTAAATATTTAAATATAACTATATAAGCAATACACCTTCAAAACCATTACTTGACAACACACTTATATTTCCAGAAAACACAGAGATCAAGACAAGAACTCGCATTTCGTGAATTAATTGACCCCAAAAAAAAAAATCATTAACATTTTTAATAAAAAGCCATAGACAAACAAGCCTACAAATTGAGAGTTTCAAAGCCAGATAAAAAGATGAAAAACGTAATCTACAAAATCAAATTCTCAAAATTGACTTCGTTTTTTAAACTTCCACAACAGGCTAGTATCACAATTGCTTAAAAAATTCGAGGAATTTAGAAGAAAACCGACCTGCAAAGGATCAGAAACAGGAGGAGTCTCTCCAAGAATCTCCAACAACGATTGAAGATCCATGGAAAGGTCAGTACCATCGTCACCAACCGAGAGATCCTCAAACGTCCGATCGTCTTCAATCAACATCGCAATTCAAAAACAAAAAATAAAAAAAACCAAATTAACCCCAAATTTTCTCAAAACCCTCACTACACAGTTGAAAGACCTGAATTGCAAAACCCTAATATGCCTAACCAGGAAGTATTAGCAATTTTATCAACGAAACCATGAGGAAGGAAGTTAGAGAGAGAGAGAGAGAGAGAGAGAGGCTGGAAACGTGTTGGAGGGGGTGAGAGAGAATTGGAGAGAAAGTTCGTAGCGGTTTGTGTGTGTGTGTGTGTGTGTGTGTGTGTGTGAGATCTTCTTTGGAAAATTCGCAGAGAGAGAGAGAGAGAGAGAGAAAGTCGTGAAGAATGTGGTGGTGGGGGTGGCGTAGGTTTAAAAAAAGTGTGGAGGGAAGGTGGGTGCGCAGGTTAAGGACTTGTTCTTCCTTGTTTCGTGGTGGTTTGTAGTGTAGTTAATTTCACCGGGAAGGGTGGGAATTTCTGTGTTTAGGGGAGTAGGGATTTTATTATTCTACGCCGTGTCGTCCTTTGCTTTTACACGCATAGAATTCAATTTAAAGGACACGTGTTGCATCTTTTACTTTGTGAAATTTTGTTTTTTTTCTAATTTAAATTAAAAAAATTTAGAGGTGGGTACTTCGGGTGATAAATTCATTTTTAAATTTTTTTTTTTTTGTTTAAAAGTTCAAGTCCTAGAATACTTTATTTAAAATAATAAATTTAGATAAAATGATCAAAATATTTTCTCTCTCTTTCTTTCTCTCTAAACCCAAGCGCTAACTTTGTCTCTTAATTTTCATCTTCGCCGCTGACCACCTCTGTCCCCCTCGATCTCCTATGTTCCTGCCGATTTGGACTCTCTCTCTCTCACCATCGATCTCTCTTTCTCGCCGCATCATACTGCAACGCCATTTGGTTTCTCTCTCTCATTCTTACGCCATCGATCCGACCACCGCCAACGACATCATTCTCCCTTGCATAATCTTTGTCACCGAAGACGACAACGAAGACAACTATAACGCCATGTTAGGGCTCAATTCAATTCATACCCTAGGTTAGAACCAACAATTCACATTATGTTTGGGAACCTAGGAGGGAAAAGAAAAGAAATGATTACTTAAGTTATAAGAGAAAAAAAATAAATAAATAATTGTGATTTCTCTACTTCTTATTTGGATAAGTAAGAAATAAAAGAAAATAAATGATTGTGATTTCTCTCCTTCTTGCTTGGTTAGATTTCATAAGAGAAAAAGAAAAGAAATTATTTTATGTTATATTTCCAAAATAACATTTTTATATTTTCAATCATTTTATTTCTTTTATTTTTACAGGGACATAATTGGTATTATGAAAATATAAGAATTTGTTGGTTTTTTTTCTCTCATAATCTCTCAACTTTTGGGAAGAATTAAAATGAAGGTTATAAGATAAATGAATTTCTCTCCATTTCTCTCCACTGAAGTTATCCAAATAAGTAAGAGAAATACATATCTCTTTATTTCTTTTCTTTTCTCTCCAAATCACTCCATCTAAACATAGCATCAATGTGTTCGATCTGTTTGTGCAAGTACAGGGAATCTAAGATGTTTAGAACGTTGTCGGAACTTACAATTTCCAATACTTCTCTCAATGCTGCCCTCGGAGGTCGTACTAATTTTGCAGTACCCCAATGGTCAAAGAAAGTAATGGTAATGATAGCCAACAGCGAGTATGTTCTTGTTTCAACATAGATCTGATAATCAATGCTTCAAATCTTTGACTCTTAGATTTTTATTTAAGGTTCTAAGAATCCCCTCCCATACTCCTATCTTGGAACAATAACATATTGGCCTCAGTTTAGGGTTATGGTTTATGGTTCTTTTATTTTTATTTTTTGTAGTTGATTGTCGTTGATTTATTGTTGTTGTAGATCTGGAGAGCAAAGTATTCCAACAGATGGTGGATTTAAATTTTTGGATAGATATTTTTAATAGATAGGGGAAAAAAATTGAACACATAATTTTTTTTAACAAATAAAAAAATGAACAAAAATTTTAACCAAATAAATTTGTACAAGTAAAAATTAGAATAAGAATTAACACATATTCCAATAGATAACGAAAAAAATTGAACAGGGTAAGGGAATTTCTTTGGAAAAATAATAATAAATAAATATTTTAAGAGATATTGTTTCAACAGATAAAAACAAAGAGAAACCCATAGAATTTAATAGATAGAAAGAGATATCCACATAAATTAAATAGATAGGGGAAAAAATTGAACAGATAGAGAAAATTTTGAACAGATGGAGAAATTTTTTGAACAGATTGGAAATAAATTTGAACAGATAGTGATGGGTCGTTTGAACACACCCAAAATAAACACTAAACTACATCAAATTCTTTTAGAATAATGGCAAGTCCAGGTATCGATCCACATGGACAATTGTGAAATTAAACTAATTTAATTGATAAATTCCTAAATTAATTTTGATGAAAAGAATGATTGATCATAACCTAATTTAATAACGAATAAATTAAACTAAATAATTAAATTATCAATTATGACTGAAAGTGAATTTACTAAATTGGGGGAAAACCTAGGGCGAAGAGTCCACCACTAGTTACGTAAATAGGGTTTTCAAATTGAAAACAATTATGTTATGGTCCGAACGAAATAATGCTTCGTAACTACAAACTCAAAGCATTTAACAAGAAAATCATCACATTCAATGTACGAGCACGAACCATCTCAAGAAGTATGAATCGTTCACTCTAAACTAAGGTAGTGATACGACTCGTCTCTCGTAGTATGATTCGTCTCATACCTTGAATGTGAAAGAATAGAAAACTCTTGTATGGAAAACATTCAACAATCACAGAAAGCCGAATATTTGAAGAAATAATGGAAAATATATATATGAAACTTCTAAAACACCATACAAGTGTTCAAACCTTTACATAATTGAAAATCCAAAAAGAAAAACCTATTACATGGCTAGGGTTTCATCAAAACCCTAGAAAAGGAGACTAGCCACTCATGGAGGAGTGGAATGAGGTAGATGGAGAAGAAGTCACCATGGGAGACATGCTTGAAGCTTCAAGTTTATTTCTTTCGCAAACCCTAGCCTCTCTCTTTTGCAAAAACAAGTTCAGAAACCTAATCCAACCTTATTCTTCTCTCTTTATATTCATGTTCTCCTCCAAACAGGTTTAAAATGTCGGGTACATTTTTTCTAGAAAAATCAACGCACGTGCAAGAAAGTCAACGCACGTGCGGGAAAAGTCAACGCACGTGCGAAAAAGTCAACTCTCTCCAAATTCTATCTTTTTGCCCATTTTATGCTCTAACCAGGTACAACCTGATTGACATTCAACACACATAAAGTATACAATTTTGACAAGCAAGTGAAATTAATATATCCTAATTAACGGCCTCAATGATGTACAATTCGGCCTTAATCACATCCCCCAACTTATAACTTGCTAGTCCTCAAGCAAGTAAAATAAAATAAAATTAAACAAAATCTATCTATTTCCTCTTTCGTGGGAAAACGGTTGCATTTAGCATATGCAACAAGCCTTTAAACCACAAGGTTACCCTAAGTGGACGAGTAAAGTCTCGTGAGGGTTTCTAGAAATGATACCCACAAATATTAACATATTCATATATATTCAACAACAATTGACCACACTACTCCACCTAACAATCAACTTATGGGCCACTACAGTGTGATATTGAGACATCATGAGTCATTAAAGGCACAGTGGACAAGCATGAAGGAACCTATTGAGTCAAAACCACAATTCAGTTAATACAAAAGTAAAGTCCCATGTTATTTGTGCATGCTAGTAGACAAGTCATGAGTACCCTTGGTGTAAAGTGCAATCTCCATATTAGTTAACTGTCTACTATAATAGCCCAGTGTAACTCATAATAACACCCAACATATACAGAGAAACTAACCTGTTGCAGCCAAGATTCTCAATTTTTTATTTATTTATTTATTTATTTTTAAATGACGGTGCAATGTTCTGACCCATTAAGCTTTCTAATCAATCCATGTAGCAAGTATTAGGCCAATGACTCCCAAACCAGATGGTTTTAGGGCACTAGGAGTAGAGACACCACTACAGGCTTAATAACTCGAGTTGAAAAGGCTACGAATCCGAACAAGTCATTCTCCTTATTTTTTCCTTAACTGTGCAATGTCTAAGTTCCTTAAGCTTTCTAATTAACCCATGTAGCAAGTATTGGGCAAATGACTCCCAAACCAGACGGTTTTAGGGCACTAGGTGTAAAGACACCCCTACGGGCTTAATAACTCGAGTTAAAAAGGCTACGAACCCAAACAAGTCAAGTTTTTTTTTTTTTTTTTTTTTTATAAAAATCTTGGCTCCTCATTTATTCTTTTCTGCAACCTAGCTATTATCAATGATGTACACTAGGGATTACAATAAAGAAGTCACCGCTATGAGAGTGTGTTCATGTGAATTAAGGCATACTTATGACAAGTGTACTAATACCACAAGCACAAACAACTCCCCTAGTGCAAACATCACATGCAAGTATCTACCCAATAAATCCTTTTCATACAAGTCTACTATGCTCCCCAATCAACATATGCAAATATCATCACCCTACTAGCAACAAGTCACATCAAGTGAAGTAATGCAATCAAGTGAAACAGGTATAACCATGAATGATTGAGCCAAATAGAAATGCACAAAAGAAAATACAACCCTCATCCCCCAACTTGAATATGACATTGTCCTCAATGGAAAAGTAAAGAGAAATGAGAGAAGATTACCAGAGATTGTAAATGCACATCCAGGTAGGCATATAGTAACACACACACTCAACTTTTTCTTTTTTCTTTTTTTCTTTTTTTTAAAGAGAAGATGAAATAACTAAAAAGAAATAAAAATAAAAATAAAAGAGATAAAGCAATATACAATTGGTACTACGGGGAAGCCGATGGCGATGGTGGCAGGAAATGCTGGGCAAACAAGGCTTGCATCAAAGAGCGCGTCTCAAAGGCTTCATCCTGAACCCGTTGCTGGATGGTGAGCTAGTGGGCATATAGCTGGTCGAAGGTCGCTTGAGAATAGTCTCGATGCTCTTGAAAATCCGTGTGCAACTCCATGAGACTCTGGTGGTGATCATGAAGAGTACTGTGGACCTGATCCACAGAGTGCTGAAGTTGTAAGTACTCCTCGCGAGTCATGTAGAGTGGGTCTCCTTGGGAGGCACGGGGGGAACAGGATGAGGTGGGTGGTCATGTACGAGGTCCTGGGCCTCATCAACTGGGGCACTAACCTGCTGCGGGATGCGAGATATGCTATGCTGCCATCCCGCTGGCCGAAAGTCGAATACGCTCTATCAATCTCCTCATTCTCAGCAATGGAGAGGTCGTTCAGCTCAAACACAAGTGTCAACAAATTGGCAAATGGTAGTGGCCAAGTCAGGTTCTGCATAGGTTCAGGC